ATGTGCCTGAGGTCCCTGAGTTATGTACCTCATGAGGTCCCTCAACCAAATAGACACAGCCATTAGTCTGTTGTTCTGATTTGCGTGGCGCCTGGCTAGGCTCTGTTGCCTGTCCACATAGTGGTCCCATCACACCACTGGCCTCTGCTCAGACAGACTCACTGTGAGTCGTCAGAACAAAGCCAATTAGCAAACGGTTTACCATTGTGCAAATGTGTTTATCACCTACCTCTGGCCTTCTCGTTTTTGCAGAGTGGAGTGTGTTCTACGTGGCAGCGCTGGCATTGATCCTGACAGTGCTAACTGGAGCTGTAACTTGGTTGTGCATCTGCTGCTGCAGGAGGTACCTAATGTGCTTATTCATGTGAGAAAAGAAGGCCCTTCGCTGGGGTGATGGACAGCTTCAGGCTTGTTTGCTTGGACTTGTCTCACTCTTTAACTGACTAACTGACAGCTAGTTTTTAAGACAAACTGGACTTCATGGGCACGTTCCACTTCTAGGCATGTGCATCTAAGTGAATGGATCAATACTGGAGGCAGGAGGCAGCTTTTTCTCATTGATGTTCCCTCACCTTCCAGCATAGCAAGACCTATAATTCTATATCAGATTATATATATATATGTATATATATATATATTTAGTTACTTTGGATTTTTTTGAGGCAGGGTCTCATACAGACTGATCTGACTCTGAATTCTCTACACAGCAGAAGATGACCTTGAACACCTAATCTTTCTGCGTGTTGGAATTACATATCTTAATCACCATACTCAGCCAGAAAACTCTATTTTAATGGCAGTTTCTTCTTAAGAGTAAATTTGTCATCCTAGGGATCCAGATGGACATAAATGGCAAAAACTGTTAAGAGCTGGCTGCCATGCTGTGTTCTTTAACTCTCCACAAACATCAGAAAGGAGCCAGCTTCAGGCCACCATTCTAGGGAGATGGCATGACATTCAATCAGGTTGAGCATGAGTCCCTGTCCCATTGGTGCTTTGTTTGTTTGTTTGATTTTTTTTTTTTTTTTTTGAGACAGGATCTCTCCATGTTGTCCTTGCTGTCCTGAAACTCTTATGTTGACCAGCCTGGCTTCAAACTCAGAGATCTGCCTGCATCTGCTTTCCAAGTGCTGGGATTAAAAGCATGTGCCACCACACCATCTTGGGCACCCACTGGCATTTCTGCCCCTAAGTTATTACTTCTAAGGTTAGGATGTAGAAGGAATGAGGAGTAGTTCCCAAATTGACTCTGGCCCTGATATCTTCAAGCCACAGGCAGACATCCAGACCCTTGACTTGCT